CTACTCACTAGGTCCCCAATGACAAAGGATGTAACTCAGGAAGAGCCAAATTGAAGAGATGCAGGTGAGGTATAGAGGAAGGGCACAGAGCTTCCAAGTCTTCACATGGAACCAACGCTGATTTTTCATGGAGACTTCTGCACAGGCATGAGTGATGAACTCATTTGGGACTAGCAAGTGAACTTCACCATCAGCCCTTCTCCTCCTGGGAGGTCAGCGCAGACCTGGTTGGTTTCCCTGACAACCAACCCCCTCTTCAAGCATTCCCCCCACCCCACCCCCGCCCCAAGTTATCTTCATTAACGTACCAAGAGACAACTTTATCACTCTCAACACTTAGGAAATTTCTGAGGGGAAATTCTGCTGGGGACTGTGGATGAAGAGCAAGTATGTGTGAGAATTATACTTCGGTCATCTGAATAACTCAACCTAAACATCTCCTATCGATCACAATATTACAGACCACACACCCTGCTTAGTTAAAATGCCCTTCTGAAGAAGCTCTAACAAAATGCAAGAGGAAGACAATGTATAATTTGGGAAAACTTTGAAATATGCTCAAATTTTTAGAAAGGCAATTCACCTGTTAAAGTCCTTCACAGCCTGGAGTCAGACAGACCTGATTGTAATCCTGGTCCTACATCTTGTAGCCATGACCCCTGCACAAGTAACCATTTCCTTCAGCTTCCATTTTTGTCTAGCGGAGCAGTAATAGTCCCTGTTTCCTATGGCTTTAGTAATGAGGAGGAAATGCACATGGCACGCAATGCTCCTCTGGGTACTGGCCAGTAGTACTTCATCAGCAAATTTCAGTTCTCATTTTAGTGACACATTATTTGTGATCGCTATTTAACCACCCATGCATTTATTCAAAAACTGTTATTTGACACAAAACCTTGTCTAGTAGTAGTAACCCATCAGTGACCAACCATGTTGTCAAGGCCTCTGTCCTCATAGTGCTGCAATGTAATGGGCACTTATGGATGCGATTATAAGAAATGATAACTACTATAAGGAAAAGTAACAACTCAATTACTGAAAAACAAGAGTATACCAGATACTGGCTTTAGAAACCTCTAATATAGCGCACAGGGCATATGGATCTACCCCATTTTGTGAAAACAAACGGCAGTGACAGTAATCCCCTACATGTCCAATTGTGTATGCTGATCACTGGGTGAAATGTGGATGCCGGTCTAGTCACACTGCATTGGCAGGAGCAAGAGGTGGCATTTTGTACATCTTTCCCTAGATTTGCAGATTGGGGTTCACATGTGTCTTTAGAGGTTTTTGAAAAAAAATTAATTGAAAAAAGTATTAAGAAAAACCATATTTCTATAGAGGGAGATCATTTCAAAGACTACTACCCAAGTCCTCATAAGAAAGGATGGATCTCTGACCAAGGTATTATGGGAAAAGCAGAAATAATAAAAAGATAATGCTCAGCATCACTGAACCTTGCAACTGGTAAGATGCAGAAAGAAAGAAAAAGGAGTCAAGAGCAGCTGTTAGATTCCTGGCTGAGATAATGTGATACATTCAGCTAACCACAGAGCATGTAAGAGGGGCTAAGATGTGACCTTGGGATCTGGCACCTCGGGGCTTTGGATGGGAGAGAAGAAAGCTGTTGGACAAGAGGGTCTCATCTCAGCAGAGGCAAGTATGACTGACTGGGAAGTTGTACTTTTGTCCCTTTGTCCAAGGCCTCCTCTGTGGCAGGTGCCAGGGGGATGGAAGCTGGGGAGACAGAAGTGACCCTGCTTTGGTTCCTGCCCTCCATTCACCATACATTCAGCTGCTGGCTCCACGTCCGGATCAAAGACTTTGTCATTTCAGAAAACTTCAACTCCTCCACAATCTCAGTTTCCAAGATTTCACATCTCAATGTCCACTCTGCTCACCCCCTTCTTTCACCACACCCTCCTCCATCAGGTACCCTGACACCACACCTTCCTTTGCCTCATTGGGACCTGCACCTCTACAACCTTCTCTCTGTCCTGGGACCTCTTACCCACCTTCTGTGCGTCCCTCCTCTCCCAGGTGGCTAGAGCCTCACTTTCTCAGTCATCTCCCCTGCAGCTAGGGGTTTTCATCTGACTCATTTCTGGCCCCTAAACTGTGAGTAGAAAACTGGTGGGGTTTGTGTGTGTTTGCGGGGGTGGTTTTAGGAAAGCATTGGTGTGTCTCCTCTTCCCCCCTTTGTCCTGCCTTAAATGAGGTCATGTGGCAAGAGCCCTGGCAGCTGGGCTGCTACAGGATGGACAACCCAGGGAGCTGCAGAGAGGAGGGCTGACCCCACCCTGGAGTGCTTGGGCCCAGGGCAGCATCTGCCTCCCTCGGGTACCTTGTTATGCAAAGCTCAATTGCTGGGAGGCAGGACATGTTCCTAAGTAACATGTCCCCATCCCCCCCACCCAAGGGTGGTTTTCTGAATCTGTTCTTTTGGGTGGATGCTGTTGTGATAAATGTTTTTCACCACGTTCTGCTACAGGAAATGGGGAAATGGTGATGGCGTTTACACAAAGGAAAACAGCCTGAGATCTGTATTTTCTCACTAGAAGGCTGGACACAAAAGTGGCAAAGATGTAGGATGCTAGTCCAGAACACAGGATTCAAAACTCTCTTGAGTCCTCACTGCCTTTGGGTGAACTCACGACTCTGGACTCCCTCACGTGGCCATGGTATCACAGGTATCACCCCTCTATTCTGATTTCAGGGCAGATATCACCAAGCAAAGATGGCGCTGAGCTGCAGTGCAGCCTCAGGATGATTTTACAGGTTATTTCAATGAATTTAACTCCTCTTATGACCTGGTTTCAGCTACAATAAAGAAATGGGAGTTACCATATAAGTTGAAAGCATTCTCCCATCCTTGTCACTGTTCAACCCACCATATTCCTTCAGAGAACACATTTTAAGTGAATATCAGGGCAGTTAGACTGGGCTGTGAAATGACCCTCGGGCAAACACCCACAGCACAGGAGTAACAGCGAATCCCCGGTGGGAAGAGAAACGTAACTGAGTCCACCATTCCCACTTGCCACCTGTACCGTCCTTGGCAAGCCGTTTAACGCCTGTGCGTCTAATGTCCTTATTTAAAAAATAGGCTGAATAACACCCATCTTGCAGGGTTATAATAAATAAAAAATATAACATGTCATGCATTTGGCACAGAGCCTGGCACAGTCAGCATCCAAATGGAATCAGTATCTGTCACCTGTAAATATCTCACATCATCAGTTAAATATATCTCATATTATTAGCTAAATATTCTCTGGCTTTCCAATCAGTTTGTGAGCCTCTTTAAAGAATTTTGTGTCATTTAGCATTTTTATCCTTTCCAGCAGCCAAAAACTTATAAGTGCTCTTATCATATAAGATGAATTTGCTGATTTGGGTCAAAGTCACCATTAAATGCAGGCTGAGCAAATTCCTATGATGAGTATTAAGGAGCACGGGTGACGTAGGTCTGGGCTGATTCTAGTGTTCTAGTTGGAAGCAGGTAGGGGGCAAACAGGGCACTGAGGCGAGGAATGGGAGACAGCAGGTTCTCCGAGGAGTGGAGCACATGGCATGGTCTCTGCATCAGAAAACAGAGAGCATTTAAGTAGGAATATCTAGGGATAGGTCTGCAGTAGACATGAAAAACTTGTCCCAGAAGGTAAGTGGAAAAGGGCCTGGCTGGGGACATACAGCTGAGGTGACCGGCAGAGAGAGCCTGGCAGGCAGCTGGTGACAAGCACATGTGGTCTCATGTGGAGAACTTCAGACTCATGTGGAATTGGACTTTGCATCTACAAAGGATGGTGAGGGCTGGTTTCTAGATGAGCTGCAAAGTAAGTTCAGATAAGGTCCCACTGCCACAGATTAAACCATAATTTCTTACTTGAATTATGGCTCTTCCCCCCTCCCTCATGTTTCCCCCTTTCCGTTCCATTCACCACATGGCAGCCAGAGGGTAATTCCAAAATGGAAAGCTCATTCCCATCCCCCTCACAGTTTACAGCCTTTGAGGGCTCTAAATTGTTCCAAAAGTTCAAACTGACCAACCAGGTCCTGTGAAAAGCAACTCCTTCTTTTTCTGACCTTATTTATTACATCACCTTCCAGCCCCCCCAAGAGGCCACTTCCATGTCTGGGATTCTTAAGGTTGTTCCTTCTGCAGGATACTTTCTGTGCCAGGGGATCTTTCTTAGCAACCACTAGGTTTTGGTTAGAAGGCACTTCTGGGAAACCCCCTCAACAAAGTTCAGCTCATAGCTCCTGACGTCTTCCTCCTTGTAGCCACCCCCAAACTCCATCAGAATAGGAATTTGATGTCCTCTTCGGCTCTAATCCTGGGGTCCAACATCCTAAGGGGTTCTATAAACACGGGTTGACAGGATACGTGTTTACTTGTAGACTTTGTCTACTCGTCTAGAAAAGCCAAGGCTGGCGTCTGGCTCTGGGCAATGACCCCATGGGGAAGCAGCTGGACTGGCTAGTGTTGAGCTTTGCTCTCCAGGACAGAGGCAGCAAGTCTCCTCCACTATTCAGTGGGTGAGAAAAGGCAGATGGAGAGCCTAACTCTAAAGGCTGAGTAGGCAGAGAGAGGAAAGAACCAAGAATGTTTTCATAAATAATTAGTAGATTCCACTTGTGGTTAGGATGGGGCCTGGTTACGCAGTCATGAAGAGCTACCTTTTCCAAACTAAGAAACAGTATTAGTAATTGTTAACTATGTTAACATTACCCTTAAGACTAAAAGAAAGAGGATACACGATAATGACATTTTATGATTTTCTTGAAACCAGTACACACGATACTGGGAACGCTGACGGTCTTTCTCCAGTCTATATGAGTTTATAAAATGAAAGAGGAAAAGGCATGGTAGCCACGGACTGACAAGTGGAACTGATGTGTGGGAATGTGAACACTATCGTGTATTGACCAGAAACACCTAGAGGAATGTTTGACTCTGCTCCCCTTGATCTTGTTACCTAATGCCTTTTACACTGAAATTCCCATATATATATAAAAAAGTTGTAATTGTAGCCAATTGTTTTTTCATTTTATTGAATGACCCAAAATCATGAGCAATGTTGCTAATATGAAGTATTTTGTCTGGTACATACCAATCAAATAGCTTTTCTTGCCTCTGAAAATACTTTATTGCGAACTTCATAAACTGTGACCCCTCTGGGGATATATGATCACATCATTACAATTCATTGAAGATGGCTCATTAGTCATATGCTCCCAAGGATTTGGCCACATTTCTTTTGCCTGTTAAGGTAGCAGTGAGTTAGTCTTGATTTTCTTTTTGCCATTCTAACTGGGTGGCGGTGATGGGAGTCTATTCCTCCTACTCTTAGGTGACCCACTTGAAAAATATCTCACATAGCCATGAAAGTTTCTCTTTAAAGCATTTGTCATTATATTTACATAACTACACACACACACAGACACACACACATCTTTTCATTGGCTTATTATGTTTAAGAATGCGTTCCTCACTGAGATTATAAAAAATAAGCACCATGAGAGGAGAAATCCTTTTGGCTTGTCAAATTGTATTTTCTGGTATTCCAACATAGGACCTGGCACTTATTGGGCACAGAAAATTCTTTTTTGGTGATTATACAATAAATACACTGAACTTTTCATCCTGGGTGTGTCCAGATTGTGTCAGTGAACAGAAATCACTGTGTATTGGTATAGGAAAAAAATTAACTCAGAGCATTGGAAGAGCTGTGGAGGAAAGTTCTGAAGATTATTAGTCAGCAAATTTGAAAGTGCAGGAAAGAGCCACTATCAAGGCTCACAGTTACATGGTTATTCTCCAGAGATGGCTGGAGCCACTGGAAGCTTCTGCTGATGATCTCAGCTGCCTTGCAGCAGGTGATTCCTGGGAGAAGCACTGGAAGCAGGGGGAGCAGCCAACAATGATCTCATCTGCCTGCCAACAGCTGCTGCTGAGAAAAATAGCTGCTTCTCTTGGAAACCTTTGTGAACGCCTCCCAAGCAGACGCTAATCCTGAATGACACTGGGAAGGCATTCTGGGATGTGTGATTGCACTGTGTAGATAGAGGTGAGGGTAATGCTGATAACAGGCAGTAAGGCACAGCAAGTCATGAGGAGGGAGCACCTTATTAGAGTAAGAGTGAGCCAGACTATAAGCTCTATGGTGGGAGGAAGTTTCATTTTTTAAACTGGCTTGTCCTGAGAATCTGGGTGCTTGGGCTGAGAAAGAGACTCACACTCCCTCTTCACCATGTAAAGATGTTTCTGGGAGGTGGTTCCCCAACATCTATCCCACCCACACATCCCAACAGGACCATGTAACTAGCTCATCCCATTTACTGTGGACAGAAGTGATACCTATCTGTTTTGCGCTAAGGTGCTTAAGTACCCGACACTCAATTTCCCATGGACCCTTTCTTTTTGCCTCTGTTCTGGCTGAGGGTTGAGCATCAGGCAGGGGATGCTGACATCCTAGACCTGGTGGGGACACAAAGGGGAGAGTCTGGAACTGCGTCACCACTTGCATGAAGGCTGATCCGGAATGCACTTTGCGTACAACCCTATGGCGTCAAACCAGTGAAATTCCGGAGTTGCTTTATACAACAGTGGGTCAATAGGAAGTGCTTAAGAAATGCTTGATGACTCAATGAGTAAAACAGAAAGGCTTGTTAGGCTCTTTGCAAAGTTCGCTGTGGTCGGTACTCGAAGAAAGCACCACCCATGCCAGAGGACTCCACGGGAGGGGAGCATGCTCTGTGTCCGTCCCGTTGATGACAGCCTGGACATGGCCCCAATGTTGTTCAAGATATGAGAAGCTAGTCTGGCAACTCATTATAAAGGTCCTCCCATTGTTAGAACTTAAAACTCTTTCTAACACAGCTTTCTATTAAAAAAAAAAAAGTAGTATGAAAAAGTAACAGAAGGTGGTTAGTGGTGTCACCATGAGCATAAGTAGCTTCCCTGATTAGAACCCAGGTGTCCTGCTAGCAGTTTTCTTAGTTTGGCAATTCCTCCCTGACAAACTGAGAGTGACCTGGGGTCCCAGAGCCTGCAAAACCCTAGAACTTCATCCCAAGCTTGTGGCAGGATCAGGCGTTGGAAATTAGTTTGATCGTTATTCCCTAACATATCATCAAATCCATCTAGGAAATCACTTTCATCCTAGCAGCAGAGATAAAATGATAGTGCACAATCACAGACACTGTATTAAGTGCTTTCCCACCCCACCAGCCCACTAATTCCACACAGATAGACAATACCTTTGCATTACTATTGTCCCAACTTCACTGAGGTGGCAATTGATGCTCAGGAGATTCAGAAACATTCCTAAGGCCATGCAGATGTTTCACACCGTCTTAGATCTGCAAAATCATTTCTGTGTTTGTTGGTCATTTGCCAGATATGCTCACAACAACAGAAGGAGGCAGTCATACACCTCTGGGCCAAGGTTGTGTCTGCTTGTTATTTTGTTTATTCATCGGTCTGTGAAAGAATGAGTTATACGGCAAGCCAGCCGCTGGGTTTCAAATTTTTTCATTTCATATGCATGTCTCCACTTATACATACACTATTGATCATAGAATTGATCTTTTCTCATTGCTTCTAAAGCCAGAAACTATTTCATTAAGCTGCTGTCACTGATTTAAGGAGTGAAAAGTATAATCCGCTACCTTCTCGTTTCACCCACACCTTAAAGCTAGAAGTTGAAAGAGCTTTCTTAAGGAATTTCTTTTGTAACGGTATGCTTCAGTTCCCAACCTTTGCATATTACTCATGTTAAGTTTGCACGAAATAACCTAAAAACCAAATAAAGTGAGTGTCTTCAGTTTGGGATAAGCCAACCAATTCTCTGCCCACATGTTGCAACCACTACTTGAGCTGCAGCAAAGATGAGTGCTATGATTTATTCCTCTTGTTGTCACAGCTTATTGTGCACCCAGGATTTCCACTCACTAGGCCAGGGAGTTATAGCCGAGAAAACTACTCTTTGAAACTACCCTGCGAGGTAGATGTTATTATCCCTATTTTACAGGTGAGTAAGTAGAGGTTAGGAGAACTTTAAAAGTACCTAGCTAGGGCTGGTGGTGACAGAGAGCAGATGTGAACCCCACTGTACACCCTTGCTTTCGTTACGCCTTGTGGCCTAACTCATTTATAAAGACACAAGGAAATACAGTGCAAATTGCTTACCTAGAATCAATGAGAAGGGCTCAGCCATGTGATCGAGTAGTTCCAGGATAATCTCGTGTGCTCCCAAACATGTGCTCAGGGTTCCTCCTTGTGTGTTTTCTCCTCCATGGAAGGACTAGTCTGCTATCCAGGTCCTAAGCAGCTGATAACACGTGGGCAAGATGTTTTGGATGCGGTGGTAAAAGATACCAGCTGGGCAAATGCTTCTCTTATGAAGCCTTCCCAGAGTTCTTCCATGCAGGTGGGCCTGAGGTGAGCCTTTAACAGAGGGAGTACTGGTCTGCATGTATTGAAAAGAAGAAGCAGGGGGTCTGTGAACTGGCATAGTGGACGGAGGGAAGAGCTCACAGAATTCACATCCATTCCAAGGTTCACAGGAGACTTTTGGGAAAGCACGACGTCCATCCTAAAGAGGAAGAGTACTGACCCTGCCTGCTTGATTGCTTCTGCTCTGTAAGGAACAGGAGAACAAATCTCTGCAATAGATACAAAGTTGGATACAATGAAATTAGAGGCTTGATTTTAAAATTCAACTGTAACCGAATGCCCTCTTGGGGGGCTGCTTTACTTTTTACATAGTTGCCAAACAACCACCCTCTCTTGTCCTAAGCTATTGCCCACTAGCTCCCAGCCAAGGAGTCTAGTAAAGCAGCTAATACACCGCCTGTGGCACAGGGAGGTCCCAGACCCGGAAACCCTACCAATCCTGCCATCTGGGCGTCCCCCTCAGACATTCTGACTTAACTGGCCTGGGCACTGGGAATTTAAAAACCTCCCCAACTATTTTTAATGGGGATCCTAGATTGAGAGTGTATGAGCAAGAGGGCAGGCCTGGGGGCCTGGGGCTCCACTTTTAAAATCCTGGGAATTCGCCAAGTAGGACACTCACCCCGCCAGGCCCCCATCAGTGTCTCTTCTCCAACCCCTCCCTCCACTGCCAAGGCTGTGGAATGAGGACGCCAAGCAGGCCCTCAACAAGGCTGCTCTGGGACACGGGGCTTTCTGAGACGGCTAAGCTGGGCAAAAATTCCTTCTCTGGCTGGGCGGGCTGGGAAACAGATTCCAGACGGTGGCCGGTGCTTTACAGGGGAAACAGGGTCCTGAGGAAAACCTTAAATTGGAACTGAAGCGCGTGAGGATCAAAGCGCATCAGCAGGCCAGGGGAGGGGGAACGCAGCGCAGCGAAGGAAGCTGCCTCGCAGCGGGTGAGGCACAGCTTTTTTTTTTTTTTTTTTTTTTTCCTGCTTGCAGAGCTGGAGGAGCGCTGCTTCCCCAGGACGACTCTCAGGAAGGGTGTTTGACCCCACAGGGTGGCTGGGGTCCCCCCCATATTGGAAAGCGGGGTTCCAGGAAACCCTTGCCGGGCTGACCCGCCACGCAGCGCTGAGGCAGTGAGCTTGTCTTCACAGAGGAGCTGAGGGCCCCACATCACCTACCAGGTCACCCCATTTGCAGGAACCGCCCCCCACGAGGGAGGCTGCGCGAGGCCGCGGCCCTGAGGGCGCTTCGGGCAGGACGAGGCGGCGTGGCTCCAGCATCTGCGGCTGCGCGAGCCCACGCGCCCCACCCACGTGACCGACCCATGTGACAGACTCGGCGCACACCCCTGACGTCACACACGTGACGGACCCGGCTGACTGGAGACGCGCGAGGCCTGCCAACCCGCGAGACTGACTGGACAGGACACGGGTGTGCCGAGGCTGTGTCGCCAGAGGGCCGCAGGGACGTCGCCACGCCTGCCGCAGGTGGGGCTGGGGGCTCGGGCCGCGGCTGGAGGCGGGAGTGGGTGGTGAGGCCCGGAGGCGAGGCGGGCGGGGCCTCAACCTGCCGAGGGGTCTGGCCCTGGGGAGGCTCTTTGGCCTCGGTGAGGGCCCCACAACCCCCCCCACCACCGAGTGCGCTGGGGTTTCTCCGGTGCTTGCCTCCTCCTGAGGCCCAGCCTCCTGCGTGCGACCTTGGTCTCGGAAGGCGCAGCTCCCGTGGGAGGCCACCGGGTACCGCCGCCCCGCTGAGGAGAAGCGCGGGCCTTGGGTGGAGAGGTCAGGCTGGGGCGACTCGCTGGCCGCCTCCCCTCCCCCACGTCTCGCTTGTGCTGGGTGGGGGGACGGGGAAGGATGAATTCCCCCCACCCTCCCCCGGGCCTTCAGTGGGTGGGCTCCCTTGAGGAAGGCAGGGCAGGCTCGGGCGCGAAGGCCAGGCTTCGTGGGTCCCCTGAGCTCGGGTCGTCCGCCCTGGCGTGGGTGGACAGTGCACCCTCGTGCCCTGGACTCACTGGGTTTGCACGCGCGCCAGTGCCGGACTCAGCGGGCCTACGGCCTGGTCGGACGTGTCCACAGTGAGGGGCGGTGACCCCATGCGGCTCACCCTGAGCCAGCCCACGCCGGCCGCGGGCTCCTCAGGCCTGGGGGGCTCCTGGTCAGCGCCCGGGGACCGCAGAGGCCACAGCGTGCAAAGGGCATAGCAGGGCAGAGTCTGGCTCCTCTTCGGACCCTGTGCTTTCCTGCCATTCTGCAGAGCAGCCTCCAGGGGTGCTGAGCAAGCTGGCCAGAGAGGACTTGGGGTGCTGAGCTGTGGAGTGCGCAAGCACAGGAAGCCATGAGTGGCCGTAGGGTGCGACCAGATCTCCAAGGTTCACTCTGCCGCCGCGGCAGCTCTGGGAGCTGGCTGGACATGTGGTTCTGGGGCCCAACCTAGACCCGCTGTCCCAGAAGCGTGGAGGGGTGGGCTCTGCAGTCAAGCTTGCCGTGTGGACCAGGCCTTGAGCTTCTGTGTGAGAGGGAGGCCTGCCGATGCTGTGCCCTCTGCCTGTGCAGCTGCCTGAGCAGGAGCTGGCCTCTTTGCAGGGCCTCCATGGCCTGGGCAGGACTTGACAGAGGGCAGGAAACTAGGCGTTGGTGATAGGAAGCAGGAGAGGCTGGCGTGGCCCCAGACAGCGGCCCCCTTGTCTGGATGGGACGGGTCCTCCTGTTGTCCCGCACTTCTTAGGGCCTGACTCACATCCCCTGCAGGTGGGGTCAGAGCCCTTCATGGGCCTGTGTGGTCCCCCAGGTGCAGGACCACAGAGGATGCTAAGCCCCTGGGAGGTACAGCAGGACTGAGGGCTGAGGAAGGAGGAGAAGTTGGAGAAACTCCAGGGATGGGGAACCCAGGTGTCATTGCTGTGGTTTGTGGTACCTTTTGGAAACACTGGCAATGGAAAGCCGTTAGCTTTCATTTATTTGTCTTTCAGTGTTGGGGAAAGCTCTATTCACTTTCATGGCTCTGGACCTCAGAGAATAAGCTTTTGACTAGAATGATTATGGACACTGAGTGTTGGGTGTGTGTTTTTGAGGGGAGGGTGAGTCATAGAAGAGAATCTATTGTGAAAGGAGAGAATTGAAAGATCTATGAAAAGTCCTTTCCCCTCAAAAAACAAATGGGATGATATGTGGGCAAATAGTGAAAAATTGTGGGCCAAGTTCATGAACTCTATCCTAAATCATCTTTAAAAAAAAAAAAAACTATCAATATTTACCTTACTAAAATGTAAAACTTAGGTCTTCTCCCCCACGGCCTCCTACTCCTTTAAACCTTTACCCTTTCTTTCTCCCTCTTGACCTCAGAAATCTCACTGCAATTATTAGTGACCACTAGTTTATACTTATTTTGCTTTGCCAGATCCTCCACTTTACTCATATAAGTGAACTCACCCAATATTTGTCTTTGTCATTCTGACTTGCTGCTTTGCTGCACACAGCCCCTTCGGGCTCCTTCCACTGTGCTGTAAATGATGGCGTTTTGTCTTTCCTGTGGCTGAATACTGATCCCTAGGGTGGATATCCCTCATCCTCGTCCAGTCCTCCATCAGTGGGGTCTCAAGTGGCATCCATGTCCTAGCTATTTTACGTACTGCTGCAGTAAATGTTGTAGAGAAGATGGTTCGTATTCTTTGGACACCCAAAAGCGGGATTGCTGGATTACATGTTACTTCCATTTTAAGTGTCTAAAAAGTAGGTCCAGACCTCTTTCCATCATGCCTCAGCAGTTTATCTCACCACCAGCAGTACATTCGGGCTTCTCTTTCTCTGAATCCTTTCTAATTCCCTGTCTTGATCGAAACTTAGGAACTGATGTTCCACAGTAGAAAGGGAACCATTGTGGAATGGGGGCAAGGGCTGGCGAAGGGTGGTCGGATGACCTGGATAGTCGGACTGGGAGCAAAGGCTTCTGAAGTCAGAGATAACCAGAGGGGTACTTGTCTCCAGGAAGCAACGCCATCAGCTTGTATTTTACAGTGTTGACTCTCATAGAATTATTAGGAATAGACAATGCTTTCATTACATAAACATGGTGAATGACAAACACTTATTAAATTTATGTATGTCCTGAATCTGTCCTAATATAGGAATGAGGGAACTTATAATTACCAAGAACTTTGAACTACTTAGTAAATATAAATAGAAAATCAGGAGCAAGGAAAAAATGTCTGCACAAATGATTGTTATTATGGCTTCTTGGATTCAGTTTAAGACTTTTCTCAGAGTTGCCAAACTTCCAAAGTAGAAAGAGGAGAAATGTGTAAGGGGAGAAGCATTTAGTTCCTCAGGAGAAATGTCTCTCGGCCTTAAATCATGTGGGAGTTTTTATGAATGGAGCTCTTGGTCATAGCACTACCCACATCAGCATGGGGCAGTGATTGTGGTAATGGATTTCAAAGATTATTTCTTAGGGGTGCTTCTGAGAAGTTGAGGACCAAGCAATAAAACAGGTACCATTAGAGGCAATAAGGTTGGAGTGTGCTGCTTCTTTCTAGGTTATGAGATCCGGGGACGTGAGTTAAGTTCCTGGAGTATGAATGGCAGGCATGTCCAGTAGCTCTCCTGTAGCCGATCATTCTCTCCGATTTTGGAGACAAGCCATTATGGAATGGAGAGAGATTATTTTGGTCTGGAAGGATTTTGAAGCAGATGATTTGTATTCATTTTTGGCACAGAAAAACCTCCCTTTAGGATTGTGGTGAAGACCTGATTCTGAGTATCACACTGTGGGGACATGCTTACGCCATCCTCTGCTTTCCAGGTCCCTGCTCTGCAGGGTGGTATGATCTCAGTGACCAGTTGATTTTGAGAAATCTTGGCACTGACAGTGATTTATGGCATTTGGACCTTTTTCGTGCTGAAGATCAAGGCATCCCCCTGGTTTCTAAAGGGAGTGTAAAGTATAACTAAAGACACCCCTGCAGAGGAGAGATCTGTGTGTGGAGGAAATGAGACAGGTAGGAAGTTCCTGTACGTGGTCAACACACAATAAGTGCTGATACCATCTTCCATCTCAATAAAGTACTAGCAACCAGACAACATTTGTGTTGTCCTCAGATCTGATTGCCGCGGTAACACTACAGGACAGCTTTATCAAACACGCCAGTGGGACCGTATTTTCACCTTCCCTTCTCTGTGGTTGTGGTTCTGTTCCGAGGTGGGGAGGGAAGAAAAGTGAACTTGGTGGTTGGAAAAGTTTCGTGGAAAAGGTAGATAGATGTAGGTAGGAACACACCTGTAGGAAGTATAGTTGGGTTACATAGAGAACACAGGCGGAGAGATGTGTCATGGGACACTTTCTGTCACCCTTTGTGGGTGAAAGAAGATACTGAACTAAAACCCAACATACTGTTTTCAGGAAGTGCGCCGGGGATGCATGAACCGCCAATCTGTGGTGTAAAGTGAAGGGTGGACAGGATGATGGCAACACTTACTGAATCAGAAAATTATGGTGTGTTTCACATTTATTCATTAGACTGAAAGTGATTGCTGTTTTTAGATCCCAGTTCTATAATAGTTCCCCTTTCTCTATACCACACTGTTAAAATGGGTTTATCTTTAATTCTTTGGTTAACATTCATTGTCAACTAATCCAAAATCCCTTCAGTCTTACACATGGAGGGAATGCTTCGAAAGTACAAAGAGAAGAAATTAAAATGTAATTGCTATAAAAGGTAAAATGCCTGTTGTTTTGTCCCTTACTTTTGAAAGCAGAAATATCCTAAAAACAATTTTCTTCTTATCTTTGAATAGCAAATAGAATTCCTTGATATTTAAATTTAAATTGTTTAGGGAATAAATATAATATGAAATCTAGATTATCAGTCACATGGCAACAAAGGTATAATTTTCCTGAAAAATTACATTTTTACCAAGCATATTTTCATGCAAAGCATCTTATTTTTTCCTGAAAGTCATGCTTCTCATAGCAACTAGTAATTTCATTTCAGTATTTTAATCAGTATTTTTCTTTTTTCATTGTCTGCTGATAGTGGTGGGAACCTCAAGCCTGTTGAGCCATGTAGATCTTGAAATCAGTGTTTTTCACAGCAGGGACATCATTTTAATAGGGAATTAAAGTGTTAATTCCATCTATCAGTACTAAAGAAGTATTTCACTATGTGACATCATAACCAATTCAAAGTTTCTTTCTTCCCTATCCAATTGGATCTATCAGGAAAAAAACCTAAAACAATTTTCAGACACTGAAAGTTTTTTCATGGGTTTCTTTTCCTTTTTTTGGTTTAAAAAACTTTGCAAATAATGAATAAATACTAAGACCTGCTAAGTTAATATTTTTGAAAGTGTTAGGGGGAATAATATCCAAATAGGTGTAAAGAAAACATTACAGAAATAAAGGAAAAATGGAAGAAATCTCTTACAAGCCCTGCACTTTTAGAAACACTGACAGTTGAGAAAAAGAAAATCTGGCAAAGTACAAATAGATA